AATTTCCATTTATCGCGCGATAATTTCCATTTATCGCGCGATAATTTCCATTTATCGCGCGATAATCTTCATTTATCGGGCGATAATTTTCATTTATCGCGCGATAAATTCCATTTATCGCGCGATAATCTATCATTGACTGCGCTATTAAAAAAAAAAAAAATGTGTCATGTCCCCTATGGGCCACCGTACATAAGTCTACCTGTAATAATCCTTCTATTTTTTTGTTCCCATTGCAGGTATAAATATCACCTGCTCTCAGTTAATTGTGAACCCTAAATAATCCTTATTCTGTAATCAGTGTCAAAGCTAACGGTTAATCGCAGGACAACAACTGAAAAACGAATAAAGAGTGGCATTCAAAACAACAAAAGAAGAAGCAACCAAACATATCAACATAGAAGGCACCGGGTTATTATTACGAACAGCGTGAATGTCACAAGCTGTACGAGTTTGACAAACACTCGTCTATCTCTTAAACTCTTAAAAGGATCGCTTAGATTTGTTGAGAAGTTGAAGACGGTTCTCTTAACTGAGATAGAACGGTACAACCTTGTCAATAAGAAATAAAAGGGGATAAAGGGTATACACTTTCTCTACTTTGAAGAGTTTAAAGTTGGTCATACCATTGCATGTTCTTCCATCACCAGAATACCCAGCTCTACAGGTACAGGTGTACGACCCCACAGTATTCGTACAATCTGCGTTGTCTGCGCAGTTTTCAGTGTGTGTAGTGCATTCGTCAAAGTCTGCCACAATCAACCTATAACAATTTAAGTCTATGCCTATATCATATCAGAAAAATGATGAAGAGATCTGTATTTGTTGGTGGGAGGGATTATCTTAGCACAGCAAGGAGATATTAAAAGCATGGCGACTGAGATCTTTAGGAACGTCCAATAAGTTGAAGTACCCATCAAGTAAAGAAAAAAGTCTGGATTGAAAAAGAAATAGCATGTTTCCATTTATCAAGGTCTCCTCAGTTTCAATAACTACTCAAGGTGTTATTCAAAAACAATAACTACTTGCAAGACAATAAATTCATTACCTGTAAAACACGTAAAATTGAAGCAACTTTTGCATGGCACGTCATTCCAAGCGTACCCATGCTTTGCACCAAGAGTGTGTACACAGTCTTGGTTGTCCCAGTCATTTGGTTGTTGCGGAGCCCAGAATCTAAATTTGCTTACTTCTTTATTTTTCCAAACAAATGATCCTTCCACGCTCCGATCATTGAGTCCAATCCAAGATCTTTCACCTTTATGTCGATGCTGAACGTAAACATTTTCTTCTTGGTTGTGCACAGTCACCAACTGGGAGCCCATTGCAGAGCAGTTA